CACAAGGGCCTGTTTGCCCAGCCGGTTTGCCACCGGAGCACGTGTAAATTTCCACTCTCGTTTTCGACCGAAGATTTCGATCGAGAGTGGGAGACAGGGGTCCTTCAGCCGCGGCATGCAAACAAGAACCCTAATGAATTAACTTGTTATTCGAAAGTGGGAGAAATATCCAATTACACGGGAATTTCAGTTGATTTCGCGGCGATTTGTTGGTTTTCGTTTTAACGATTCGTTCCGCTATACGGAACACCACTGACTCTGTGTGTGTCGTAGGGATGTATCATCAGTTCGATAGTTTCATTATAGGAAATTTCGTTGCATCCTGGTATTTCACAATTTTGGCAACCTGTGACCCGCGGGTCACCAAATGACCCATTCGATAATTTCAAGTGACCCACTTGAGTTCCGCAAATAAAGTATAATATATAAAAATAAATTATAAAACATAAACATGAAACAAACACTTTGAGAAAATATAAATAATAGATTAACATCGACCCCGCGGGGTCATAGGTTGTCGACTGGTTTATTGTATCTTCCAATTCTCTAACCGTGTTATACTAGGGGTGACCTGTATATTCGCGTAATAAAGTTCAATATTGTTACTAATTTTCTTTTCAAACGAACTAACACTTTTTCATAATGAAATAAAGATCAACAGATATATATGATATATATAAATATATATCGTCGATTAGTCAAACGACAAAACCGCGTTCACCCTACACGCGAACGAGTCGACTGATAGTGGGGTCGGTCGAACCCACGCGTTGCAGATAAATAAAAGATTAATACCAGCACGCCTACCGAAGATCCTTTAATCTATACGATCTATTGTCTCGTGCATGGTACACCGTTGGCGAGAATTAGCGTTCACCTCCTCCCCCTGGCCCCACCCCCTTTCCACCCCCAATGGTCGGTGGGTCCGCGGGCTGTAGTTGAATTATTGCCGGGCGTATCAGGAGGCAGTGATGCCGCCATAAAGCCAGCCCCGAAATGTTTCGCTGATAATGCGATTCCACGGGGCGAAATTACTCGGCGTGACGGCTAAGAGGAGGATGGGGAGGAGGATCGAAGGGGTGGGAGGTCTCCTCTTTCTCTCCCCCGGGTACAGAAGCTGTCGCCCCGGCGAACGGACGGAAAAAGGAAAGGAATGGAGGAGGTGGAAGTGTAGCAGCCGCGGAAACGAGGCGACGGAGATGACAGGGAAGATCCTCTACGCGTTATCTCGAGCGTGTCACGCGGATTCGCCCGGAGGAAAAACTCCCGAGAAAAGAGGAACAGCATCTTTCGCCGCTGGCTATGAATTATGCATAGTGGGAACCGGCGGTAAAACTTTACGACGTAATATATATATATACATATATACACACAGGAGGGCCTCGCGGATATCCGCGGGATTCCATTAGACCCGGGCTTTAATTAGTCGTTTCATTGGCCATTGTGAGTGGTGGGGTGTGGGTATGTTTGCTTTTTTTCATTCGTCGAGGTGAGTTTTTCATAACGCAGGGGAACACACCGACACGTTGAATGAATTATACGATAGTTACACTGTTCCTGACTGACCCTTTAACGCCCACTGTGAGGTACAGTAAATCTTCGATGAGTGTTCGAAGGCTCCTCGTCCTACCTCCGAAGGTCATTTGAAGGTTACATGATTAAATTTGTCTTTTCATTATCTATAACATTGCACTGATTGTTATTGCATTGAACAAAACTACGATGACCTTGAAATATCGAGAAATATGATCTTGAGAAGAAATCTTCTATGTCACAATTGCCCCACTGAAGCAAGCATTATTTCCCTCGCATATTTTCTCGTACCGTAAATGACGATTCAAGGGTCAAAGGAATTTACACTTCGTTTGAAGGATGAATCGAAAAAAAACCACGTTTACAATGGAACTTACTCTCGTAGTGTCTAAAATTCTGGAAAAATCGTTGGCAAGTGGCGCCGCGAAGCCTTCTGCCCGGAGGGGAGGTGGGCATCGCGTAGCCGTGGCAGGTGTAGAGTGGCCTAACCGGAAAACGAAAACAGAGAAACAACCACGTGGTTGGTGTGAGTGTACGACGTGAAATAGCCGTACAACTCGAAGAAACTTCCTTCTCGCGGGCTTTGAAATTGAACAAGCAGCCTTCCTTCCCGTCGTTCGTCGCTCCTCCCGGTGGTTTATGGAACGTAAACAACGCGGGAAAAGGAAAGGATACTTCCGTTCGAGCGTAGAAAACAGCCACGACGAGGTTTCCTTCGACTCCAGTTTATATTTATTGTCGGAGTGTGTATGGGTTCGAGTGGGAGTGGGGAGACTTTTCGGTTCGATCGAGTCTCTATATTCCTGGCTACTCTCGAGAAATGGCCTTTCGATGGTCGAAGAGAGAGAGATTCTCGATAAGAAAACGTTTACGTCGTCACGAGGGCAACACCTCGTGGTTGCTAGGTGTTGTTTGAGGATGACCGCACCCTCCGCGAACCGCCCAATTAGGGAACTTCACTCGGGCGGGAGGGTAACACAGCAATTAAACAGCGAAAGGGAAACCAGACTCGAGGGTCCTCTTCGAGAAACGATCAAGGTTGCGTGATTTTTCTGTTCTTTGGGAACCTCGAGGAAAAGGATATCGGTTTGGAACCTCGGAACGGGTGAGATGTTGGTCTTCGCGGTCGGAGTGTTCGTTCGGACCGAGTTAAGCCTGTTTTACACCAACAAGATCGCCCTGCTGTTCACGCTGCTCGCATTAAGCCCGTTTTACACCGACAGGTTCGTATCCTTATCTGTACAGTAAATGAGTCTTGAGAGCCTCCTCAGCACTGAACATTAAATATTTCATAAACGATTGGCCCTAACAAATATCATTCGGAATTCCAAGTTCTATCACTATACCAAACCTCATTAACAAGTCAGCGTTACATCTTTTCTTGTCAGTGTCGAGGAGCCTCCGAACGCTCATCGAGAATTTACTATATTCCAAAACAGTTACTGCTGTTTCGTGTTCGTCTAAACAAGAATTCCCAAGGTCTACCCACCTTATCTGCAAGCGTCCCGCGGATCGATGCGACACTTCCTGGAAGCATCCTTCTCCCTATTTCCCGCCTAACACTTTGAAAGCCGGTAGAAGGTTCAACATCGAACTGCGAACTTCCATCAGCCGTGCGCTTCTAGAGACGCGTGTGTGTCCCTCCGCTTGTTTCACCTCGCAGCCGAGTAGCGTCGTTCACGGATGACGAGGAGCCGTCCTGACACGCGATAAAAGGACATCGTAGGCAAAGTGTTTCCCGAAAGAACGTCGAAAGGGGTTGGAGGAGGAGGAGGAAGAAGGGGAGGAGAAAAGTGAACGCGATCGGCTGCGAGGGGAAAGTCGCGAGCAGATACAGAGGGTGGGGGAAAAAGAGATTCGACGTCAGCAGATCGAAGGTTCCACTTTCTCTCTATCCACCCCCTCCCATTCACCCTTGGGGGTTGGGTATTGGAAAAGTCGACGGGAAGAATGGGGAACGCTGCATGCAACCTTCGAATAATATCATCCGAATATTGAGGCGGCGAGGACTGCTGCCGTGCTCGTAAACCGACGACGGCGGATATGAATGCGGATAGCTCAATTTTCCGTGGCTCCCGTCGCAGTCTCGCTAACGTACAAGACGTGACACGGCTTTTGTCGACGGTCTTTCCTAGACACCCCGTTTCGTCGCACGCGTGTCCATATACAGGGTGTGGTATTTAAGTTGACATATGGAAATATCATAAAAAGCAAACATTATTAAGAAAGTATTTTAGACAAGAGTTGTTTGGTTTTGAGGGGGAAAGTGACGCGGAAAATGCCTCAAAAAGCAGAGACCATAAAAAGTTATTGAGTAAAATGTAATTTTTATTTAAATGAAAACCAAATATTAATAAATCTCGAAGAAATCTTTCGAAAAATTACGTAAATACAAAATATGGATTTTTAACTATTCTGGTTACGAGTAACCATTACAAATGATTTCCTTCATCGATTTATATTATTGGTAACCAACCAAAAGTTTAATTATTTATAACGGTTGTTCGTAACCAAAATAATTCACACAAACATATTAACTCTTATACCGTCACTTTTTTAATTGTGGTTATAAGAATGTTGCAAGTATTATATTATGGTCAGACAGCCTCCTGAGCGGTGGCCATATACGCGGAAACCACTGTATCACCCTCGGTCCCGCTGAAAACGGGCTGGTAAATAGGATCAGGGCGAGAAATTATTGCCGCGGTTCGAACCTAAGCCTCTTGTGATCCCGCGGAAAACTTGCGCGGGGATTACAAAACGTAACGGGGCACGGGGATTTTGATATTGCGTTATTGGGCGCGGCGGTTTCGACGAGATGACAAATGGAACCTGATTTACGGGGCTTCTCCTATACGCAATGACTGTCGTTCTTGTTGGGCGATCGATATTTTTAATAGGGATCGGTTTCTCCAAACTCCTTGCGACCTAAGAAAGTTACAAGAATTCGAAACATTGCACAAATGGCGAACTGCTGAATTACCGTGCGTTAGTGCTAAGAAAAAGGAAAGTGAATATACCCTAGTAGATTCAATCTCTTTTTAATACTTAAATATACATTCAATGTTTATTTCATATTACGAAAAAAATATTTTTTTTCCAATATAAAATAAATATGTATTTAATATTGGAAACATGTATTTTATATTTCCTGTATATGTATGCAATATTTATTTCATATTAAAAAGTGTTTTCTGTTTAACTACGGTCAATGAAGATTAAAATTTTGTTGAACAAAATCAGGACTTCAAGTTTCGACAGTTACGAAAAACGAAATAAAGTGTGTCTGGCTACGTACGACCGTTTCCACTGTGTCAGTCGACGTGTTATAGATTACGACCTTTCTCATGAGATTCTCCGATACTGGTTTACTTTCAAAGGATTATCGGTATAGTTATCACTGAATGTTACAGGGTCCCGTTATCGTGAGACTTTTCCCAACTGGTGTCGCGAACGAGAGAAAGAGGATGTCGGATTCGGAGGGTAGCAGCGCGGAGAGCGTCCACGGCTCGGAGAAGTCGGAAACGCAGGAGGAAATTATGGTGCCGTTGCCGAATCGGCAGAATCCGAGTGGCGACAAGCTCGAGGAATTCGAGAAGCTGCTCCAATCGATGATGGAGTCCCGTTCACCCTCCCAGGAGGCAGAGGAAACCGAGGAGAACGACAGCGGGAGAAAGATAGGTTCGCGATTTAGCATCGTAATATTTGCTCGATACTATATTCTCTTCCTTCCATCATGTGGAATAATCAGCAATCATTTGTTACTCTATTCCAATCCAGACTGTGTTTCAAATTAACCCTTCCGTTACCAAAGTGTGTCTACAGTCACCCAACGTCGATCGTTCGCTGTGTACTGAAGGTGACTGTAGCAGGGTTGCACAGAATTTTATTCGAATATGGTGTTCCACCAAATTTGAACACCTTGAGTATCTCACTTGTTTTTGATTTGCGGAAAATTTATTTTAACAAATGCTCAAAATGATGTCCCTCAACTTCGATACATTTCTGCGTTAATCCCTCTATCGTAGGTATTTTATTATTTAAATCTACTTCTTTGATTTTTCCACCGTTACACCTGGGGACCTTTCTTGATCAGTTTCGAGGAGCCTTCGAACACTCATCGAGCAGTTACTATATACTGGCAGAAAAAAACCGTAACTTAGGGTGTTATAATAACCATGCAAAGAATTGTTCGACCAGATCGGTCGAATTCCGTCTGAGAATATATATATTTACACGGGGAAACTGAACGTTCCACGGAAAGGCGTTTCGCGAGCCACTCGGAGGGTCTGTTCGTGTAACGCGTTAAGACGACGTCGACGACGGCTCTTGACTTGGAAGATACACGCGAGAAGAACAAGGAGAGCGCGTGTGAGAAGGTCTACCGTGAATCCTTTTTCCACCACGAACGAAACGCTGGATTGTTCTTGTAAGGGTGGGGACAGGGAGGTGCGAGAGGACTGGGGGATGCAGTTTCGCAGTAGAAACTCAGGTAACCTGTTGAGAGGGCGGCGTTGGAGTGGGCGAAAATGGAGAGCTTGCTGCAGCTTAACTTGGAGAATTTCCCAGACGCTCGCCAAGGGCATTTCCAGGGAAAGTGGCTCAGAGGGAGAAGGGTGGACGACTGCGGGAGTAGGGAGGAAAAGGAGGCTTTTCGGGGTGAAATTTCTCCGGGCACACGGGGGGAGATTAAGTTCCGTCGTCGTCGAGGCTCGAAACGTCTCGAGGCCACGTCTTTTTCTCCGTCTCTATTCTTATTCGTGCTTGCTTTTACGAGGAGCACGCGGGGACCAGATGGTAACGCGAACTTTAATGATCTTTTTCGTGGCTCGGTAGACTCGGCAGGAAATTAGCGAGTGAGAGAACTTGCTAGCCGGGAGGCCCTTTGCTTTTGTATTCTGTCGTCGTCGTCGTCGTGAAATCCGTCGACGAGAAAAGAGAGAAGGAAAAAAAAAGGAAAAGATTTTTCGAACTGCTCTGGAAGGAGCTCGTTTGCATTCGTCCTCGTCTTCCCGTTCTTCCTTTATTCCCTCCCGACCCCTTTTATTCTTCGCGGATACTTGGGAACGTTGTTGAAATTTACAGAAGGGAGAAGAACTTTTTTTTTCGGCAATCTTCGACAGTCTGGTTTCGTTTATTTTTCTTTCTCGTTAATCGACGCTCGATCGCGTGGGGCGGTTGTCTCTCGAGATCACCTCGAGCGCTCGGATGGTGGTTAAAGTGTGCCTAAGGAAGAAAAATTATTCCACGTAAGGGGCAACCGACTGTCTGGCGCCCGCTGGACGCACGTGGAATTAACGACCGCTCGTGGAAATCGAAATTGCTCGGACCCGAGGCTTCGGCCGGCAAGTGGAATGAGACGTGATTGGTCAGACGCGATGGACTTGTCGCCCGTGTTCTTAACTGGTCTAACTTCATTTTTCAAAGAAATTTAGTTGATCATTCTACGCGCGTCTCACTGGTCCGGAGAATATAAATTCACCATGATGTAAAATATTCTTTTCAGTTATAACTCCGAAACTTTCAAAGTTTTTTTTTCTTCGTGATGCTCCAATTCTCGAAGTGGTCGTACGTTTTTCATATCCATTGCTCATCGATATGTTTACGGTTATTTCTTGGCCGCGAAGACGCACGCTCAGCGATAAGAATCGCCCACGATATTCCGCTTTATTAGCGATTCAGAAGGGAAACTGTCGGTATCGTCGCTGTAACTTCGAAACTACCGAAAGATCACGGCCGTAAATCATCTAGCAGAACGCGTAAAGAAGTCGTCGTGTGAAAGATTGTGCGCGATGAATCAGCGTAGTTGTGACAAATAAATGCGTAATAATGTTGGCCAGAACGTACAACGGGAAAAATGATGTGCATATACTTAAAAAAACATGGGTGACCTTAAAAAATCCATTAAAAAAATGACACTTATACCTAACAATTTTTTTTCATCGTCCGAATCGTCTCTTGAAACCATGTAAATGACGTAAAAAATGTTTCAAACGAATGTTGGACCAGTGAAACACTGAATTTGAAAGGGTTAACATCCAGGGAGTATATTGATATAATTAAAAAAAGTAAAAATCCGAAAATTCTCGTCCATGTCGCAGCTTTTACACGATTCGTTCGGTCGTGAGAGTGGTTCAAAGCGCGGCTTCGCTGGCCTTTCCCTCCGCTGCGACTTCGTTCGATGGCACCTCGCACGAGACTATGCAACGGTAATAACTGCTTTAATTACGATGCATCGAGGCGATTTATGGACTCGTCGTAAACGACACCACCGGCCTCCACGGAGAGGGCAAACCGCAGCTGTTGCCAAATTCGCGTCGTCGGCGGCGACGTCCTCGAACCCGCGACATCCAGACCCCGCTCCTAAATTTCCCGGCAAATTTCCCGTGGAACCGAAACCCCATGCACTGTTCCCCCGTGTACTATGTCGGCCAACCCGTCCGCCCGTCCCAAATTAAACTCATAAAACGTCCCAGAAACCGACGCGTATATATACCTGTCCCCACGCCAACGCGATGTGGCTTCTGCGAGGCTCGAACCGCGTCGCATCTCGGAACAGAACGGAAAATTATACGACGCGATACGCGTGTAAATTCTGGAAACGGGGAAGAGCCCCGTGAATTCCCATTTGTGCACGGGTAGAGAGCGTAAATCCTAATCCTGTGGGTTTCCGATCGAGGTTGATACTCGATCATTTTGTGTAAAATCGAAAATGGATGTATTGCTGTCCTACGAGAGAGAATTTCTGTTAGATTCTGCGTAACAAATGTTTTCTAATGTTCGAAATCGTTGAACAGGGGATCGAGAAAAGCTTGTAACTTGTTGGAAAGAATGTGTCGATTCGGATGGATCGACTGGCTCCGAGTAATCATTTTATCAAAGAGTGTCGCGTCTAGGAATAAAGTATAAAGAGGATTGGTTAGATCATTTATAGTGGGGGGTTGTTCTTTTCACGTTCATATTGGCGTAGATGTCGAGTTGCTGGCTTTAATTAAAATAATAAATTCGGTGTTGAATTTAGCCAGCGCATCGAGTACGATTCCGCAACTTTGACCATTTCTCGCACCGTGGAGGTCGGATACTCTGAATTATAAATGCCTTGGCGGGCATAGCCGTCCGGTAATCGTAAGGAAAGTCTTTCCAAAAGGGGTTATAGGATGTTCCTGGAGCTCTCGGTATGTCCTTGGCGCAACGCCAATTCGATCTCACGGCCGACTCGTTTTGGGAATTGTGCTGTTAGATTTACGGAAAATGTGTAATCGCTTTCTGGTTCGCCCTTTATATCCGTTATAATAACTTCTTGATGGTACGACGAGCAACGAAAGTATTCACATATAGAAAGTAAAGATACTACGGAGTAACGGATCGTTACACTGTCAAAATACTTTCGTTAATCGTTATATTTCTAATAAAAGTACCGAATCCTGTTCATTTACCTACTGTCAAGCTGAATATATTGGATTGTTACAAAGTTCATAGTGTTTTTAAGGTCACAATTACAACCTACATTTTTCAATTATCGTATTCTTATTTACTACTTTCCATTTCAATACACACCTAAAAGAATAATACCCGTTTCCTAGAACAAACGATTTTCCCTTCGTCCAATAAAAAATGGTAACGAAGGGACTACTCGAAATAAGCTACGAGCTTTCGGAACGATCCAATCATATGCTACTTTCTATAACACTTTTTGCGTTAATACAATTCCATTAATGGTATTTGCACAAAGAATCAATCCATATTCATCCTCCCAGTATCAAACTGTATACATCTGTCACCGAGAAGGTTCTTTAATTTCTTTCCCT